GCCTAGTATAAATGGTCCTCTAGACTTCTTCAAACAAAGGTCAGTGCCATAAAACCAAGTTTTAAAAAATTTCGCGACTATTAATGTTGATTGTAATAAATATGACCCCATAAAGATGCGGTGCTTAGCCTTATGGACCTCTCCTTGCTTCTGGAGATCTATCGAACCGTCTAAACATACCTCTTCGAAAAAGTTTTTGAACACTTGCAGTAGTGAGATGGATGTTTGATCGTTTTATTGGTTCTAGTAATACCGTGCTAGTCACTAATGTCAGATATATCCAATTTGTTCCAAAACGATTTGCTTTATTTAACTTATATTTTGTTGGTGCCTTGGTAATTTAGCTAAGACAGTATAATAGTATAACGGTTGAATTGTAAAATACACAACGCAAACGCAAAACGTTTCGTTCCTCTTGCTTTACTTCGAAGAATGTCTGCGAGGTACTTACTGAAATTTATGTGCTGTTGTATCAAGCTTATATATGAATCAATCGTTTTTGACAATATGATATCCTAGAATAAGGATGACAACGCTTAAAAATTTTTGCTCCCTATTTCACTTTCTTGGCTGTCTTGACGTAGTATAATCGTTTTGTCTTTTGGGGATTGTTTGAATCCGAAGGTAGTAACTGTATATTTTGTGTCAGTTTAGTTCCTAACTAGAACTGGAGGGTGAAGGTCCTTAAGAATCCTGTAAGTTATCTGGTGAAAACCTTTAATTGTGTGCCTGCTTATTGAATGAAATATACTGATTCATTTTCTAGATGAAACAGTAATTCGAACTATGTTCGATGAATGACGTTAGGAAGCGAAGAGAAAATAGCATTGTTGGCACATCAGTAGGATCAAGATTTCAGTTGTGCTATGTTGCCAAACGTATGAATTTATGATCTCTTCTGAATATAGGATGGCAGTTTCAATTTTCGTTAGTTCAAGACTGTTTTCCATTGTTCTTTTTGAACCATAAGGCGTCATTATGCCTTCTCTTACTGCATCATGTCTTGAGATTCTGTTAGCAATGGAACCGTTTACCGCAGTTTTGGACGAGTGGAAAACTTCAACTCGATCGATGTTGATTAATGGCGTAAGCCTTTCGAACAGTCGTTTTGTTGAGGATTTAATAAATGCATTGAAAGTTACTTTTATGTCTAGTTTGTTTTGTTTCTGGTTGCTAGTAGATGATCCAGAGATCAGTTGATTCCATGTCAGATTGATATGGAAAAAAGATTGAAGGTTCAAATTGCATTATACACCTTCCCTGTTTCTGAGGTGGATTTAATTAAATACGACCTAATGAAAAGAAAACATTAGGCTAGACGTTGCCTACGTCACCTGTGTCACATACGTATACATGTTGCTTCATAAATGAGACACTCATAGCTGACTACATGGGATTAATGATCAGTACCTTGGCATGGTTATAGAAAAGGCAGATGTCACACTGATTTTGAAAGTGTGAGGAAGATGAACAACCACAGGATGCGAAGAAACGGTGCTATTTTTGTAGTGTAAGTGCGCCATTTAAAGTAGCTTGAAATAGTCGTGGTATTGGTTTCGACAGTGATCTTGAACTATGTCAGCGCACTGGACTGCTGCTTTGTTTGAAAACGTTGTATGCGTTATTTGACACATTCCGGCTTACGAACAGATTCTGATGGCACCGTATAAGGAGTAGAGTATCAACGTCTGAATCATCGTTCTAAGGAGCGAGAGCTGATTTTGGTGAACAGTAGAGTGCGAGATGCATAAACGCCATAGGTGCTGAAATACCATTGTGCCGTGGCTTGCTTAAATGATCTTCATTGGCAACTAGTGGCAAAAGGGTCTTGCGGTTCGCCGAAAAAGCTTTATGTGTGATAAGTTACGGTTTATTGGACAGACCTCGATGTAGGAACATATTTAGACGTTTTAATCTTCACTACCGTAATTTTTACTGCCACTAATTATATATGCAGTGTTATTAAATTAAAGTTAAATTAATGTGAGAAGTTACATGAAGTTATATTTTCATATGCAATTGTTTAAACAAAACCGGCGTTTCAGATCAAACTGGATCCATAGTCTGGATGTATAATGTAATTTTGTCAATGCTGATAATATTTTTGCTCCTGTTGTTCCCTAAAAATCGATCTAGCTCAATCGCTCAATGCAAAATGTCTGATTTCGTTTAATAAAATATAGGTACAGAGTAAGCAGTTTGTGAAGACTAACTATTCGCGTAAAGAATGCAAGTAATCTCTTTAAAACCGACTACAGCTGGCATATTATTGGCTTTTGCCTGATGATTCATTCAATTCCTGACCAAGAATCGAAACAGTTTTAAAACTTATTTAGTAATGCTACCATTAATGATTTTTGTAAATATCATTTTCATTCAAAGAAAATTGAAGACATCGTTTATAATCTTGAGAACGACTTTGCGACGTATTCTGCAATCTCAACCGCGCAGCTAGCGATTATTGACATATTTTTCTCTTCTGTTCCAAAGCCGCCTAGGTTTTCTTTGATCCAGGCTTTGAACCGTTATGTTTTATCCAAATAATATAAAGATGTTATGTAAAAACGGCTTTTTTAGATTAATAATCTAATATAATCCAAGACCTTAGTCCTTCCTAGTAAAGTTAGCTAGTTTGATGAATAAAATCTGAGGAATGCAAATATAAAATAGTAGTTTTAGCTGCTATTGTTTTATCCATCATACGGATTTCCTTCT